AGGAATGAGCTAAGACCAAGGATCTCAGAGGCTGAGTAGGCACAGAACACCAGCTTTCTCCATTTTTCTGAACAAGCACTGCCCCTTACCATGGCCACCACCAGGACACCGAAGTCTGAGCAAGAGCTGGCCAGCAGCGCAAGAAAAGGCACAGCACAGGACTCCAGTTTTGGGAGTTTTCCCTCAATTTGTGACACTAGTTGGCCCGACCTTGAAATACAAATGATTTGCCTGAAATCAAAGTTCAACCTTGGATTGATGCTCGTAACCTTTCCACAGCAATCCAAACAAACTGTAGGAAATGTTTTGAATAAATCTAAGAAAGGGGGTGAGGAGAAGGACTAGAGATAGGAAGCTAAGTATTAAAAAAAGAAATTGGGTGATTCACACCAACTGGTCTGAGGCCTCCAGGATCAATTTGTGGTATGAAACTCATTTTATAGATGAAAAAAAAACTGAAACCCAGGAGCCTAGAAAAATAATTCATGTTAGGGACATCATAAATATTGGTCTGTGAGGTGAGTATCATGAATTCTAAGGAGCTAGTGCAGGATCCTGTCCTCCTTGCCCTCTGAAGAATGAATTGTTAAGAGGCTTTTTTTCTTATATTTTCTAGAAATAAGATGTACTGCCAAAACTGCATTTCTCAGAAGAAATATGAGAGCAGTGAAGTTTGCTATGTGTACATTCTTAAATATGAAATTTGTATGATTCATACTTTCAGACTTATTTTTTTATTTACATTGAATTGTTATACATCTTTGTGGGTACAATATGCATCCGTGCATGATAATAAACCAAGAATGTTTCAATATTATCTCCTATTTTTTCTCCCTAATTACCTTCTCTACACTGTCACTCTCCCACCTTCCTTGCACACTATCTACAGTGTCCATGAACTACTTTCAATATTTTTATGTCCTCCAATCTTTCAATCTCTACCATAGAGTGCATACAGTGGTATGTTAAATGGAGACATACAATGTCTCTCTCTTTCATAACCTGACTCACTTCAGTCAGCCAAGAATCTTCCATATTCATCCACTTTCTACCAAATGCCAGGATCTTGTTGTTTTTTTATGGCTCCTTATTCCATAGAGTACATGTGCCCACTTTTTCAATCCATTCATCTGTTCATGGACATCTAGGTTGGTTCTATGTCTTGGCAATTGTGAATAATGTCATAATAAACATAGATGTGCAAGCACTTTTCTGATTGAGCATTCTCCTGTCCTTTGTATTGATACCCAGGAGTTGAACTGCTGGATCATATGGTAGTTCTATTTGTAGGTTTTTAAGGAACCTCCATATTGTTTTCCATAGTGGCTGGACCAATTTACATTCCCACCAATACTGTAGGAGTTCCCCTTTCACTACATCCCCACCAGCACTTAAACTTTTTTTTTTTTAACCTTTGCCATTCTGACTGGGTTTTTAGGTAGTATCTCCTTGTGGTTTTGATCGGCAACTCCCTTACGATGAGAGATGCTGAGCATTTTTTCATACATTTTTTGGCTGTTCATATGTCTTTCTTAGAGAGTTGTTTATTCAGCTCATTTTCCCATCTTTTAATTGGATTAATCATTTTTTATGGGTAAGCCACTTGCATTCCTTGTATATTCTGGTTATCAGTCTCTTACCTGGGGCATAGTATAAAAATTATTCTCCCATTCCAAGGGTTGTCCATTCATACTAATTACTGTGTCCTTTGTTGTGTAGAAACTTCTAAATCTGATGTAATCTCACTTGTTTATTTTGGGGATTATTGCCTATGCTTTCAGGATCTTTACCTACACCAATGTCTCCCAAAGTTTCCCCAGTGTTTTCCACCAGTAGTCCAACAGTAGTTTTATACTTTGAAGTCTTAAGTTTAGATCTCTGATCCCACTTTGAGTTGATTTTTGTTAATGGTGAGAGATAGGGGTTCGGATTCATCTTTCTGCAGGTGGATAATCCAGTTTTTCTAGCACCACTTACTAAAGAGGTTTTCCTTTTCCCACTGGATTGACTTTGACTGGTACCCTTTGTCAAAGATCAGCTGGCTATATGTTTTGGGGATTATTTCTGGGGTCTCCATTCTGTTCTGTTGGTCCACTTGTCTGTTTTTTGGTGCCAATGCCATGCTATTTTGATTATCATAGCTTTGTAATAAAGTTTGGGGTCAGGGAGTGAGATGCCACCCACTCCACTCTTCTTGCATAGGATGGCTTTGGCAATACAGGGTCTTTTATGATTTTTGGCAAATTCTAAGACTGTCTTTTCTAGATCTGTGAAGAATGTCTCTTGTAATTTTATAAGGATTGCATGAAATATGTTAATTTGGGTAGAATTGCCTTTTTGATTATATTAATTCTCCCAAACCATGAGCATGGGATGTCCTTCCACTTTTTGGTATCATTTTCAATTTCTTTTTAAAGATTTTCATAGTTTTCCTTGTAGAGGTCTTTTACTTCCTTGGTTATATTTATTCCTAGGTATCTTATACTTTTTGTGGCTATGGTAAACAGAACTACTTTCTTCAATTCTGCCTCTGTCTGCTTGATGTTTGTATATAAAAATGCTATAGATTTTTGTAAGCTGATCTTGTATCCTGCCACTTTACTGTATTCATTATTACTCTGAGAAGTTTTCTCATGGATACAGAGCAGTTTCCAAGGGTTAAGTCTAGAGATTAGTCCAATTCTTCTCATCCACTCCTGTATTGGATCACCACCTGTATGCCATACCTCAAATTAAAAACCAGAGTATCTGGGGCCAGCACATGGCATAGTGGTTAGGGTACTAGACCCCCCACATGGTCGACTGTGGTTTGAGTCCTAGAACCAGGAGCTTGAAACTCACACTGGGCACATCTGCGTGCATACCCAAAATCTAGAGAGGAAAATGGAGAAGGGACTGCAGCATGGCCATCTCCACTGAGAGGTGATTTCTCACTTTCTGTCTATGTCTCTCTGGCACACATGCACCCTATAGCAAAAATCTCTCAAAAAAAAAAAAAAAAAAAAAAAAAAAAAAAAAAAAAAAAAAAAAAAAAAACTAAAGTATCAAGGCCAGCCACCACAGCAGTAACACAATACTTCATGATGCTGAGGCCAAGGCCATATGGGAAGGTCTAGGGTTCACATCCCCAGGATTCCCTGTGCAGGCAAGATGCATGTGTGTGCCTGAGACCCTGGCTAGCAGAAGCTGCAGGTTGGAGCATAGTTGGCTGAAGTATGAACACTATGTTGGGGATGCCTGTCTCCAGCCCTCCTTTCTCTCTATCTCCCTCTCCCATAAGAGCAATAAACTCTTTTTAAAATAATTATTCTTATTTAACTTCCTTCTTTCCTTTCTTCCTTCTTTCATTTATTTATTTATTTAAATTTGACAAGAGAGGGACAGAGTGAGAGAGAGATAGAGAGATAGGGAGAAAGTGAGAAAACAAGCCACTAGGTCTGGGACTCGAACTCTGGTTGGCCATGTGGTAGTCCGGCACCCTTAACCACCACGCCAGTTGCCAGTCCCATGAGGGATATATTTTTTAAAACAAACAAAAGAACAACAACATCAACAATAAAACTAGAATATCAAGCAACCATTGCATGCACAGACACTGGATACTTTCTAATGCTACCAAAGATGATATATTGAATCAACTGCTACTGTTTCTTTCTTCCTCATCATACTGATTGAATCTATATGCTGTATTCCAATTGGAAGTTTCTAAACCATCAGAAGGTCCTAATTGTGTACAGACATCATGGGAGAAAAGTACCACAACTGAAGAAATTACCTCTGGTTCCACCCCATCTCACCAATAAATCAGCAGGCAAAGATAGGCCTCAGAACCAGCCTCTTACCTCCCACCCTGCAACCTGCCCAAAGATTTTGCATGTTCTTTTCTTTTTTAGAGTTTTTTGCTATAGGGCACATGCACTTGTGAGAGACACAGAGAGAGAGAAAGAAAAAAATCACCCCCCAGGGAACATGGCCATACCACAGTCCCTCCTCCTCCATTCTCCTCTCAGGACTTTGGACATCACGCATGCCAATTGTTAGTTTCAAGACTCCGGGTCTGGGACTCGGACCACAGTCAACCATGTGAGAGTCCAGCACCATAACCACCATGCCACCTGCTGGTCCCTCCTAAGTTCTTATGGATACATAATTACACAATAAACTACACAAATAGTTGAGGTCCAGATTAATTGTTAATAAGCACTAACTTCTTTAAATGTGTATCTTTGGCCTTTACAAGTTTCTGGTCTCTCTGGTGTTATGAAACCATCACAAAGATCTTTAAAAAGTAGAACAAAGGGGAACCAGCAGTTAGCGTAATGGCTATGTCGCTGGATTCCCACGTAGTCGACCGCGGTTCGCGTACCGGACCCGGTGGCTTAAAACTCGCGCTGGGCGCGTGTGCGTGCGTGCCCAGGATCCCGAGAGGAGAATGGAGGAGAAGGGATTGCGGCGTGACCATCCCCCCTGGGGGGTGATTTCTCGCTTTCTGTCTCTATGTCTCTCTCTGTCTGTCTGGCGAGCGCACACGCCCTATAGCGAAAATCTCTCCAAAAAAAAAAAAAGTAGAACAAAGCAAAAAGTCAGAGCAGGTGCCTTCTGCTTCTACACACATACCACGTTCTACCCTTCACAGTCAGTTCACTGGATGGCCCCGCTAACACTAAAACCCTGTACGCATATGGTCTTCTGCAAGCATCCCACGAAGTGAATGGTATGTATGCAAATTCAAGGTCAAAGCACCTGCATGCCTCCAGAACAACATAGAAAAACATTCACAATATACTTGATTACAGTCTAAGGAATATATCTTTTTAGAAGACTGTTATGAAATTAAAGGTAGTACCAATATTTTAGGAATTTGTGAGTGAAAAAGTTGCTGTCATCACCTTGTTATCAGCACTATTCACTCATCCAATAAATACTTCAGAACCATCATTATAAGTAGGCTGGTAAAGGCATTTTATAACTTTCTAATTACTACAAATCCTCTCATGTACAGATTCATTTGCTCAAAAACTACTCTACTGACTTCAATTATTTGTTATATCCTGAGAATATGAACACAAGTATAGCTCTAATTCCCAAAGATAGAGAGATTCTGAGGCCAT